GAGTGAGACAAGATCTAGACTGTATGACCTGTATTGAGTGAGACAAGATCTAGACTGTATGACCTGTATTGAGTGAGACAAGATCTAGACTGTATGACCTGTATTGAGTGAAACAAGATCTAGACTGTATGACCTGTATTGAGTGAGACAAGATCTAGACTGTATGGCCTGTATTGAGACAAGATCTAGACTGTATGACCTGCATTGAGACAAGATCTAGACTGTATGACCTGTATTGAGTGAGACAAGATCTAGACTGTATGACCTGTATTGAGTGAGACAAGATCTAGACTGTATGACCTGTATTGAGTGAGACAAGATCTAGACTGTATGACCTGTATTGAGTGAGAAGATCTAGACTGTATGACCTGTATTGAGTGAGACAAGATCTAGACTGTATGACCTGTATTGAGTGAGACAAGATCTAGACTGTATGACCTGTATTGAGACAAGATCTAGACTGTATGACCTGTATTGAGTGAGACAAGATCTAGGCTGTATGACCTGTATTGAGTGAGACAAGATCTAGACTGTATGACCTGTATTGAGTGAGACAAGATCTAGACTGTATGGCCTGTATTGAGTGAGACAAGATCTAGACTGTATGACCTGTATTGAGTGAGACAAGATCTAGACTGTATGACCTGTATTGAGTGAGACAAGATCTAGACTGTATGACCTGTATTGAGTGAGACAAGATCTAGACTGTATGACCTGTATTGAGTGAGACAAGATCTAGACTGTATGACCTGTATTGAGACAAGATCTAGACTGTATGACCTGTATTGAGTGAGACAAGATCTAGACTGTATGACCTGTATTGAGTGAGACAAGATCTAGACTGTATGACCTGTATTGAGACAAGATCTAGACTGTATGACCTGTATTGAGTGAGACAAGATCTAGACTGTATGACCTGTATTGAGTGAGACAAGATCTAGACTGTATGACCTGTATTGAGTGAGACAAGATCTAGACTATATGACCTGTATTGAGACAAGATCTAGACTGTATGACCTGTATTGAGACAAGATCTAGACTGTATGACCTGTATTGAGTGAGACATGATCTAGACTGTATGACCTTTATTGAGTGAGACAAGATCTAGACTGTATGACCTGTATTGAGTGAGACAAGATCTAGACTGTATGACCTGTATTGAGTGAGACAAGATCTAGACTGTATGACCTGTATTGAGACAAGATCTAGACTGTATGACCTGTATTGAGTGAGACAAGATCTAGACTGTATGACCTGTATTGAGTGAGACAAGATCTAGACTGTATGACCTGTATTGAGTGAGACAAGATCTAGACTGTATGACCTGTATTGAGTGAGACAAGATCTAGACTGTATGACCTGTATTGAGTGAGACAAGATCTAGACTGTATGACCTGTATTGAGTGAGACAAGATCTAGACTGTATGACCTGTATTGAGTGAGACATGATCTAGACTGTATGACCTGTATTGAGTGAGACAAGATCTAGACTGTATGACCTGTATTGAGTGAGACAAGATCTAGACTGTATGACCTGTATTTAGTGAGACAAGATCTAGACTGTATGACCTGTATTGAGTGAGACAAGATCTAGACTGTATGACCTGTATTGAGTGAGACAAGATCTAGACTGTATGACCTGTATTGAGTGAGACAAGATCTAGACTGTATGACCTGTATTGAGTGAGACAAGATCTAGACTGTATGACCTGTATTGAGTGAGACAAGATCTAGACTGTATGACCTGTATTGAGTGAGACAAGATCTAGACTGTATGACCTGTATTGAGTGAGACAAGATCTAGACTGTATGACCTGTATTGAGTTAGACAAGATCTAGACTGTATGACCTGTATTGAGTGAGACATGATCTAGACTGTAGGACCTGTATTGAGACAAGATCTAGACTGTATGACCTGTATTGAGTGAGACAAGATCTAGACTGTATGACCTGTATTGAGACAAGATCTAGACTGTATGACCTGTATTGAGTGAGACAAGATCTAGACTGTATGACCTGTATTGAGACAAGATCTAGACTGTATGACCTGTATTGAGTGAGACAAGATCTAGACTGTATGACCTGTATTGAGTGAGCACATCTTTACATATTGCCATCCCTGATACCAGCCTTCCAGACACCTCATTACTTCTTTGGCGTCAGTGCACCACACTTCACTGCGGGCCAAAATACCGCCTTACATGGGGCGCCAGTATAACAACTTCCCTGGGCTCCATTTTACCGCCATACATGGGGCGGCAGTAACCCTACTTCACTGGCGCCAAAACAACGCCTTAAATGGGGCGCCAGTATAACAACTTCCCTGGGCTCCATTTTACCGCCATACGTGGGGCGCAGTAAATCCTTTACCTAGGCCGGCAAAACATCTGGAGGCAATTATACACCGCCTTCCTAGGGCGCCAAAACATGCCACTCAATGGGGCGCCAAGACACCACTGGAATCCAAATAGTTGTGTGGTGTAGTCATACGGTCAATCAATACATACCCACGTACCAAACACAGCGAGCGTTTCGAGTGTAAACAAAACTATTCATTAGAGTTTTTGTTGGATGAAATATTTGCACCAGCTGAGGGCGACAGCTTGAGCTGGTAAGACAAGGATGTGAACACAGCGGTGTCTAAAGTTTGCTTCAATTTGTCTAAAGTTTGCTTCAATTTGTCGTCACATCCATGTAGTTAATTGCTACACTGGCATAGTGATCTGATCATTTCCCGGGGCATCGTCCATTCAGTAACATACACCCTCATATAAGTACGCCTTTTTGTCTGCGCGTGATTTAGTATGCACATTTTTTTGTGTGCGCAGATTTCTTAATTCTATATTCTATATATATATATATACATATATACATATATATATATATACATACATATATATATACATATACATATATATATACATATATATATTTATATATATATATATATATATATATATATATATATATATATATATATATATATATATATATATATATCACAAAAAGCAGCCGAAGACAGGTAAAGGTGTCAAGTAATAAATGAAGGAGTCTAAAGAGGTGCACCCCCCCCCCGAGGTTATGGGTCACGAGGATTCCACAGTGGCCCATCTTTTATCATGTCTACAGACTGCGCACTTCCGCTGCCAGTACGTAGTAAAAGAAAATTACCATATGCGCAGGTGTGAACCTCGGTCAGCCATATTCAAGATGGCGGCTTGAGAAATCAGCGTTGATCAGATGAAGGTCACTCAAGGTTAATTACATGCGTACCGTGTGGACAATTTATTCACAGAGCACCTCGCTAATTAACGGATCCAGATTATCAGGCAGGTGGAGGTGTCTTACAGCAGCACATCTGGCTCACCCAGTTAATTACCTAATTATTCACTCATTAAGGCAACAGAGGCGTAGCGAGGGGGGGGGGGGCGGGGGGGACATATGTCCCCGGGCGCCGACCTTAGGGGGGGGCGCCAAATTGAAAGTTTGAGGGGGGGTGCAAATGAAAAGTTCGAGGGGGGGTGCAATGAAAAGTTCGAGGGGGGGTGCAATGAAAAGTTCGAGGGGGGGTGCAATGAAAAGTTCGAGGGGGGGGGTGCAAATCGAAAATTTGCTCCCGAGGGGGGCGCCAAATTGAAAGTATGTCCCCGGGCGCCGGGAAGGGTCGCTACGCCTCTGTAAGGCAAGCCGCATTTTACAGGTAATTTAAAATAAGACGGATAATCCCACCAAATATGCTTGAAACAACATTTCCACATGTTAAGACGAAAAATAAAACTTCAAAGTTTTTTTTTTTAAATTGTATGTTTATCTTAAACTGTTCATTTGATGCCCGCGTTATTCGAGATTTTAATGTCTAACTTTTTTTATTTAGGTTAATCATTAGGAATAGCATCCGTTTCATATCGTTAATGTAATTAATTTTGTATAATTAAATTAATGACGTCATCAACTCACTGAGATCATCGACAAATAAAATAATCAATAATCTCAGACAGTAGCTACCATAGAACATTAAATCCTGACCTTGAGAGGCTAAAGTACCTGAGGCTTTTGGATCTACCTGAGGCTATTGGATCTACCAGAGTCTATTGGATCTACCTGAGGCTATTGGATCTACCTGAGGCTAAAGTACCTGAGGCTATTGGATCTACCTGAGGCTATTAATTCTACCTGAGGCTAAAGTACCTGAGGCTTTTGGATCTATCTGAGGCTAAAGTACCTGAGGTTATTGGATCTACCTGAGGCTAAAGTACCTGAGGCTATTGGATCTACCTGAGGCTATTGTGTCTACCTGAGGCTAAAGTACCTGAGGCTATTGGATCTACCTGAGGCTATTGGATCTACTTGAGGCTAAAGTACCTGAGGCTATTGGATCTACCTGAGGCTATTGGATCTACCTGAGGCTATTGGATCTACCTGAGGCTATTGGACCTACCTGAGGCTATTGGATCTACCTGAGGCTAAAGTACCTGAGGCTATTGAATCTACCTGAGGCTAAAGTACCTGAGGCTATTGGGTCTACCTGAGGCTATTGGATCTACCTGAGGCTAAAGTACCTGAGGCTATTGGATCTACCTGAGGCTATTGGATCTACCTGAGGCTATTAATTCTACCTGAGGCTAAAGTACCTGAGGCTATTGGATCTACCTGAGGCTATTGGATCTACCTAAAGTTAAAGTACCCCAGGTTGAATATCTGACCACATGCCAGAACAACGATAAAAACAAGAGCTTACGCCTAATATATGTCGACCATACAATAATATTTTATGTCCTGGTGTTTAAATTCTCTTTTCAAATCTTGATACAGTTTCTAATAGCCTGTACAACACCTAACATATAACATGGTGATACTTGCCAGCTACATTAAACACCCCACACCTAGCAAGTTGTTAAAATGGTTGGGAGAATTATAGAGTAGGTACGTAGATATTTGTTTACATGCAGTGATCGTTGAAAAGTACATAACATAATTAAAGAATAAAAACACAAGCCTACCTTCAAATAGGGAGAATTCCCCTTTAAATATGGATGCTACCAAATTTGGTCAAACAGCAAATATCCTGTGTGTGGGACAACTCGATGTCCTTCAAGTATCTTGTCCACCTGTACAGTGTCAATACACATAAACATCAGTTCTCAATCTAATAGAACTACAACTAAAGTCAGTTCTCAATCTAATAGAACTACAACTAAAGTCAGTTCTCAATCTAATAGAACTACAACTAAAGTCAGTTCTCAATCTAATAGAACTACAACTAAAGTCAGTTCTCTTTCTAATAGAACTACCACTAAAGTCAGTTCTCAATTTAATAGAACTACAACTAAAGTCAGTTCTCACTCTAATAGAACTACAACTAAAGTCAGTTCTCAATCTAATAGAACTACAACTAAAGTCAGTTCTCAATCTAATAGAACTACAACTAAAGTCAGTTCTCAATCTATTAGAACTCCAAATGTCAGTTCACTTTCTACTTTCAGACGCAAATAAAAGTTTTGATAACAAAGCCTCACAACTAGCTCAAAAGAATGAATGCTTTATTCCTGAACTAATTTTTAAAATATTTACAAGCTGTAGGAAAACTTACCAAGGACGTCTTTTTCTTTTGTGCCAAATCAAATTTCAGATGCAAATGAAATGCATAAAATCACAAGCACAGAACTAGTTAAATGTCAAGGTCAGTGAATCATATCTTGTATAGGGAGAGCGGGGCGGCCAGAGAAAGTCTGAGGATATCGGACATGGTCCATAACACGTTGTCAGTCTTGGCTTGAGGGAACATGTTCCGTGTGGGGGCGGGGTCAGAGGTCGCCACTGTCACAGCTCTCTGTTCCAGGGGGGAAAGTCACACAGACCAAAGGTGCACTGAAAATAGATCACGTGACTTTATCGCACTGATAACATTATAAACATACAGATGCATGGACACTTTTAAAACCATTTGGCTACAAAAAGACTGAACTGATAACACTACAAACATACAGATGCATAGACAGTTTTAAAACCATTTGGCTACAAAAAGTCTGGATCACTTGTTTAGCTCCACACTGACAAGTGGGTGCGGTTAGGTTTAGGAAGGGTTTAGTTCTGGATAGGGTTATTGGACGTTTTGGTTTCGTCATAGCTGGTTGGAGCTATGTCACACGATTATACATCATCACATCATCACATCAAAACATTATAACATCACCTCATCGCCACATCACATATGACCACATCCATCACAACATTACAACATTACCACATCGCAACATCGCCACATCACCGCATCAAAACATCACTACATGAAAACAACAACACTACCACATCACAGCAACACCACATCGCCACATCGCCACATATCACATCATTATACAACCACATCACCACATATCACATCATTATACAACCAAATCACCACATATCACATCATTATACAACCACATCACCACATATCACAACATTATTCAACCACATCACCACATATCACATCATTACACAACCACATTACCACATATCACATCTTTATACAACCACATCGCCACATACCAGAGTCCTGTACGAATCAAGTCGCTGCACGTAGTCAATAACCTTGTTGAAGGTTAATCAAACAAACATAATGAGCGGGCAGTCATTAGTTTTCATGACATTTATTCTCCAACATTCCCTCAACGGTAGGTCATAAGCCTCGTTCACATTTTCGTTCATTAAACCACGTACACTTCTTGAGTAACAATAATCTAACTTTTGCCTGACTCCAATCAACTATTATTTGACAACAATCAACAATTATTTGACAATCAAACAATCTTCAAACAACAATCGTTTGAAAGCAGTAAAAAAATCATTTGACAACAATCAAACAATCATTTGACAACAATCAAGTAATCATTTGACAACAATCAAGAAATCATTTGACAACAATCAAGCAATCATTTGACAACAATCAAGCAATCATTTGACAACAATCAAGCAATCATTTGACAACAATATGCAATCATTTGACAACAATCCAACAATCATCTGACAACAATCCAACAATCATCTGACAACAATCCAACAAACGTCTGAAGTGGCTACAACACACTGTCACAAAAACAACCGTGTAGATATTGTACGTGATTGACACACGAATATCTTCCAATCCAGTTTTACAATATTTTTTTCACACACATAAATATACACAGTTTTGAGGTACAATTAATATGTTGAAATCAACAAACTGCTAGACTTACCTGCATGATAAGCTTAGCTAGAACACCATCCAGTATCACTACAACAATATTTACCACACAGTGCTCAGCTAACTTTAATTGGACTCAATCAATTTTAACCTCCAGTAACTCAACTATTTCAGACACCAGCTGGTCTATATCTTTCATTAGACTTGACACCTACATGATAGACATCCTACACTGGTACGTCTAACACTCAGTCCACTACTTCAACGATCCAATAATTTAACAGTATACTGCTATAACTATCCAACACTTAATCCACACGTTTAAAGATCCGATAATCTTACACTACACTACATATCCAATACTTAATCCACAAGATCCACCACACTGGTATAATCTCAGGTATCACCTGCCTACATGCCGGTAACCACACACTTTCTGATTGCGTGTGGCTCGCTCGCCACAAAGGGCGTGACGTCACCCAGGTGAACAAAGGTAAAGGTGTGAGGGTTGCCCGGCATTGACAGAACTGTTCTGGGGTTCCAGGGGAATTCTCAGCAATAGTGTCTGGCTGTTTGCTCAATGCCCGTCGCAGCAATAGTGTCTGGCTGTTTGCTCAATGCCCGTCGCAGCAATAGTGTCTGGCTGTTTGCTCAATGCTATTTGTGTGTAGACATGTTAATGAACATTGCCCGCATGGGCCTAGTTATGGCAGGCTAAAATAGGAACCACAACATGCACTTACAACTATATTAGGCTACAACTACAATATGATCAACGATATTGGGCTCACTACAACTACAATATGATCAGCTTGCATATTTATAGTTTAAATATATATATATATATATATATATATATATATATATATATATATATATATATATATATATATATATATATATATATATATATATATATAATTCACTTCTTGGATACCATAGAAAACACAAAGCTGTAAGCGCGCCTAGCAGGCCCCTCTCTTCCTCTCTAGGCATATTCCTACCACCTCCACCCCCACATGGTCTGGTGAGCTGTGGTTTACGCTAAATGTTTACAATCGTAGAGCCGGGTTTAGTGACGGCTATTAGGGGCAGATAATTTAGTTTGAAACTATTTTAAACTTAGGGGAGGTAACTAAGAGGAGGCTGCTTTCACGGGGGGGGGGGGGGGTTGGGGGAAAGGAGGGAGTGGTTATCGTCTTTAACGACCTACTTATAGTGTATTTAAGCAAATATTTTCAGTGGCAGCGTTGGTACTGTCGAATTCACAAATTATGAATTACTGAAAAGTAGAAAATAAAACAACTAAATAGCGGCATATGATACGCCGCGGGTCGGCTCGTTAAATTATAATCCACTTACCTGTTTATTATTGTTCTGAACAGCACGTTGTTTAGCTGTGCGTGTATGCGTGTGTGCGTGTATTTGTGCTAGTGTTAGTGAACCTATATATGTGGGGGGGGGGGGGGGCTTTAACGTTTAAAACAAAATAACACAAACAATAAGCGACAGCATGAGTTACTCGGCCCCCACCTAAAGTGACAGGGTCGTGCTTTCGTGTTACTCACAATGTACGTGCACATTTGCTGACACTTCATCATTCTGTCTTACCTGTAACTCGGTTACCTGCCTGATAAGGTTTGGCTTTAATAGCCAGGTGTGCTGTGAATTGTGTTCTAGTGCACCCAGATCTAAGTCAAGGTGCTATAAATTGTGTTCTATTGCACCCAGATCTAAGTCAAGGTGCTATGAATTGTGTTCTATTACACCCAGATCTAAGTCAAGGTGCGATGAATTGTGTTTTATTGCACCCAGATCTAAGTCAAGGTGCTATGAATTGTGTTCTAGTGCACCCAGATCTAAGTCAAGGTGCTATGAATTGTGTTCTATTACACCCAAATCTAAGTCAAGGTGCGATGAATTGTGTTCTATTGCACCCAGATCTAGGTCAAAGTGCTATGAATTGTGTTCTATTGCACACAGATCTAAGTCAAGGTGCTATGAATTGTGTTCTAGTGCACCCAGATCTTAGTCAAGGTGCTATGAATTGTGTTCTATTGCACACAGATCTAGGTCAAGGTGCTATGAATTGTGTTCTATTGCACCCAGATCTAAGTCAAGGTGCTATGAATTGTGTTCTTTTGCACCCAGATCTAAGTCAAGGTGCTATGAATTGTGTTCTTTTGGACACAGATCTAGTTCAAGGTGCTATTGCACCCAGATTTTCGTCAATGTGCTGTCGGGCCGTTCGGGGGCCTAGTCTCGCCGACTATAAATAAACAATAAAAAAATTTAAGTGTGAACATTTCGTTACAGTTAAAAAGCTATAAGCTGAGATTATTCTACAGCCAGTAGGCCTAACCCACGCTGTTATATAAGAAAAAACTCTACACGAACTGCAATGTGAAAGATAAGCGATCTTTCAAACTACTTCCATGACTTTTCACCCTTCTTTACTTAGTCCAATTGTTTGACACCAAAACATTCCTTCTAATAGCCGAACACGTGTTTAGCAACTCTGTCCAGGTTTAGCAACTTTGTGCAGGTTTAGCAACTCTGTCCAGGTTTAGCAGCTTTGTCCAGGTTTATCAACTCTGTCCAGGTTTAGCAACTCTGTCCAGGTTTAGCAGATTTGTCCAAGTTTAGCAGCTTTGTCCAGGTTTAGCAACTCTGTCCAGGTTTAGCAACTCTGTCCAGGTTTAGCAGCTTTGTCCAGGTTTAGCAACTCTGTCCAGGTTTAGCAGCTTTGTCCAGGTTTAGCAACTCTGTCCAGGTTTAGCAACTCTGTCCAGGTTTAGCAGCTTTGTCCAGGTTTAGCAGCTTTGTCCAGGTTTAGCAACTTTGTCCAGGTTTAATAACATTGTCCAGGTTTAGCAACTTTGTCCAGGTTTAGTAACATTGTCCAGGTTTAGCAACTTTGTCAGTATCTCGTCTGTGACGGTCTATGACCTAAAACACCTGACACCCGTGTAACCTGGTGACGTGTAACATTGCTGACGTCAATCTCTAGGTCCAGGTTAGGACTAGGCTATCGTTACCATCAGTCTAACAACACAGCACACAATCTGTGGGTAGCATATGTGTTATAACACACGGCTTAATGTGTACACCGTGTGCCAACACACCACATAACATGAATTTGTATCACATATGTAACACCATACAACAGTGTGGAACAGAATCAACAACCAGAGGTTGATCAGTTAAATGTTGGTTTTGTCAGTTTTTAATAGTGGACGCAGGGCATCCACTTATCATCTAGGTTTAGGTGGGTTACAAAGGTAAAATAAACCGGGAGTGATCTCCCCTAAACTTTCTCGAATATTCTTATATAACACTATGGGGGATGGCAACTCGGGATATAGACTTCTAGACATAATATTTAATCCATTTTAATTACTCAAATTTTTAAAAATAGAATATAATCTCGTAGAAAAAAGAAATGCACACCAAGTGAACGCTAAATAAAGATGTGCATTATAGTGCGCAATCTTATTAGTACTTTATAAATTTACATGCGTTTTTGAGAAATCGGAAATAGCGTAAATTAGTACTTCCGGTCAAAGGAAATTACTCAAAATTTGACAGAAGGTAGAGGATTAGATCTTTTACTTACATATCAAATTTCATTTATCTATCTGAAATAGTACTCAAGTTATAGGCTTTTGAAAATTTCAAAGCAGAAAAAGTACCACTTCCGGTTATCGGAAATCGCTCAAAAGTTGATACGGATCTACGATTTTGATAAAATACTTATATATGAAATTTCATCAACCTAGCTGTAACGGTACTCAAGTAATCGTGTTTACACACGGACACACACACACACACACACACACACACAGACATACGGACAAGATTGCAAAATTATGTTTTTCCGTATCAGTGAGATGTAAAACGTCGAGATTTGCAAAAATCTCGATTTTTTTTTTGCACGATTACAAGACTTTCTCTATACTTCGTATATACGAGAAAGTAAAAAAAAGAGAAAATCTACTGGCCTAGACAACTTTCTTTAGTAAACGGCTCGTGTAAAGGTCAAAGGTCATTTGAACGGTGCGAAACGGGCACAGTAAACACCAAATTAAAGAAGTAAATGTTATTCAACCTACCTGATCTATTGTGTTGAACAGTTGAGTCAAGTTACTAAACCTACGTTTCAATCCTCACACAGACTACGTTAGCCAGACTGTCACATATACTGTCACATATACTGTCACATATACTGTCACAAATACTGTCACATATACTGTCACATATACTGTCACATATACTGTCACATATACTGTCACAAATACTGTCACATATACTGTCACATATACTGTCACATATACTGTCACAAATACTGTCACATATACTGTCACATATACTGTCACATATACTGTCACAAATACTGTCACATATACTGTCACATATACTGTCACATATACTGTCACATATACTGTCACATATACTGTCACATATACTGTCACATATACTGTCACATATACTGTCACATATACTGTCACATATACTGTCACAAATACTGTCACATATACTGTCACATATACTGTCACATATACTGTCACATATACTGTCACATATACTGTCACATATACTGTCACATATACTGTCACAAATACTGTCACATATACTGTCACATATACTGTCACATATACTGTCACATATACTGTCACATATACTGTCACATATACTGTCACATATACTATCACAAATACTGTCACATATACTGTCACATATACTGTCACATATACTGTCACATATACTGTCACATATACTGTCACATATACTGTCACATATACTGTCACATATACTGTCACATATACTGTCACATATACTGTCACATATACTGTCACATATACTGTCACATATACTGTCACATACAGACTTAATTATCTTGTTGAGCGACAGCGGCGGGTAATTATCACGTCATTTGCTGCACAGTTCCTTCCCCTTTTACACTCATCTATTTTAATTTCGTCTACGAGTTTTCTTCCCTCAAAGTAGTGTGTTTGTTTGTGCATTTGTTTGTATGTTTACGTTTTTGTTTCTATGCCTTTTAAATTTTAAAGGCTTTAAAAAAATAATGTATTAATTAACCTTACATACATGAAGGATGATTTTTTAAAACTAAATTTTAAAATATGTATTTCTAAAATGTGTATCCTATAGGGCCTAGTGAAAATTATTCAGCCGCCCAAGCAGAATATCCGGCAATCCCAGGGGCCATAACTCCCGTCACCCCAGACAAACCATCATCATTCGGTGATCTAAAAATAGCCTGGCGCCATTACTAAACACAAGTAGCTTCCCCTGATGTTGAGAAATCTCAGTGTGTCTGGAACCGTGCGGCGTCAATTCGGCC